AGGTAAAAGGCATGACTTTTGTGGAAGATTTCATGGTATGTTAAGGTTATGTTGCAATTTCGAACTTTGGTGCATAATCTAGTTAATTTAGTTTAGAGTTTTGAATAAAAGAAATTTTGATGGATTTGTTTGCTAAGAAGATGGTTCATATATGTCATGAGATGATATCTTGATTAATAGTAATTTTGCCAAGAAAATAAGGTTGAAAGTTGGAAGTTGAGAGAGATTTTGTTAAGAAAAGTTTCATTTTCTTAAGTTGTTAGTAATCTGAAAATTTTTGTAGGAAACTTTGCGCAGCTTTGGGAAATTAGCCATAACTTCTTATACAAAAGTTGGAATTGAGTTTCATTTGCTGCGTTTGAAACTAGACTCATAGAGCTTCCAATGGTATAAAATTCAGGATTTGGTTCAATTTCTATAAAGACCAGAAAATCTGCAAAGTTTCTTGAAAATCATGATTGTTCTATTTCTGCACTTGTGATAGCAATGATTTATAACCTGAAATTTGACTAATCTATGAGCTAAATTTCATAAAGATGTCTTCTAAAGCTGCTTCGAGTATATTTTCTAACGGTGTAAGTTTCATGATTTTTCGACTTACTGAACTCAAGTTATACCTTTTCAAGTTATACCTTTTTTTAGAGCGGTCTGATGGAAAAACGGTTATAGTATTTGCCAAACAAAAATATACAAGTTCAAATAAAAACTTAGCCCTCGAGCGAAAATTTGGGCAGCACGCCCTTTGTATTTTCCTATTTCCAGCCATTTATGGCTTCATTCTTTTTCTCAATCAAACCAAGGTTACCCACAACACAAATTCATTTCAATAGCCATTCCATAGGCTCAAAACAATACAAGTATAGAAATCGAGCTAATAACAAATGCGGAAATGAAACTTAACAAAAGACAGATTTGATGGGTTTTGCGTAACGGACACATCCGACGCTACGCTTATCGGATTGGAATGTAATTTATACCGTTTCAAACCTAAGACAGAGGGCTACAATTTTGATGAAGGCCACTTAGTCCAAATTCCCAATTCCCAGAACCAAGTTCCAACTAATCGGCTAATTAACCATACTACCTTTAAATGGCCATATCACAGGCTACCAAAGTCCGTTTAAGGCATTCTTGGAGACGTTGAAAAGCTAAGACAAAGACCTACAACTTTCATGAAGGCCACTCAGTCCAGTTCTCACCCTAACTAGGTCAAATTTACCAAAAGAAACTCCAGATTTTCCAGTTTGAAATTCACTGCAGAAATCAACTAGCAGTCCTGCTTTATTCACTCATATCTCAGCACACACAACTCCAATTCAGGTAATTCCAAAGCCATTAGAAAGCTAAGACACAAGGCTATAAGTCTTAAGAAGACATAAACAACCAAATCAGTAGTATTCCGGGTCAAAACATCCAATTACAGAAGCTGATTATCAGTTTCGGATAAATACAAGGAAGCAGGGGTATTTTGGTCTTTTCACAGGCTACATTGCTCCGATTGAGCTGAAATTTTACAGGAAACTATAAACCATCATTCCCTACAACTTTAATGTTTTGTACTAAGGCCAAATCAGCTCCCAACATGTTCGAATTTTCAGACTAATTTCGGACAGAAATCTTGACAGAAAAGGAACACTTGAAGTTCATTTAAATTCCACCCAATCAAACGAATTTCCAGCCGTTCAAATCAGTTCCTAGCTAGTTAGATTCAACTTCCAATCATCAATCATATGTTTTACCACAAGAATCAAGAGTTAGGAAATTGGTTTACCTCAAATCCTTAATCCTACCCCCTAGCTGGCCGATTCTTTGAGGAGATGTATCCTTGAGCTCCAACTCTCCAACAAAGTTCCCTTGGTTGGTTGCAAGCAAGGTTGGATGAATAACCCCAATGATTCCCTTTCTTTTTTTTTTCTTTCTTCTCCTAGCTCACTCGATGCTGCCTTTCTTCTTCTCCAAGCTCACGGTAGCTTGTTCTTGGTGTTGGCTTTGTTCGTTTTGTCTTATGTCCTCCTAACTTAATAGCTAAGTCTATTAATAGTAAAGCAAAACAAGAGATGGGTCATGGGCTTGGGTAATTAATGGGTTTATGGCTTAGGCTTCTAATGAAATTAAAACTTAAAGGCCCAACACCAAAACTCTACTTGATCCAATGTAATTAACCCATTGGTTTACTTAGTTTAATTAAAACTAACTTAAGCCCACCAACCCAAGGTACTAATCACTCAAACCCCGTACTAAACATGCATGGATGCACATACAATCACGAAAATATTAATTGGTTGAATTTAATTTAAATTTAACGGTTTAGTTTTGAAAGTAGGATTTTAATGATTCGATTAAATTTTTCACTTCTGGTATGTAAAATACTCTTTGAAAATTAAAACACATGGTAAAATACATTTTTCACACAATAGCTACTATAAATATCCATATTTAATTTATTTGAGACAATTTGGAATCCAGGATCTCACATCCATAATGCACCTCAAATTTAACATGTACGCACTTATACTAAAACAAATGATTTAAAAACGATACTCACTTATAAAATCTCTGAAAATTAAATGATTAATTGATTGAAAGCAAGGAAAATACACGCGGAAAAATAAAATAGAATAAAATAAAATAAAACAAGAGAGAATTTTGCGGGTCCTCACAGAGTCTAGTTGTTTTGAGTTTTGCTTTTGTACACACGCTAGTACCCGACTAGGGTTGAATGTACTCGAAATGTAAACACTTTGAAGTTTTTTTTGGTGTGTAGAAACTTTGTATTTGGATTTGAGCATCAATGTATATATGAGTTTGAAGTGGATATGTTATTCATTTTCTATGGATGCACGTGATTTTGCTTGAGCTATGAGTGAGTGCGTGAGTGAGTGAGTGAGTCCTGGCGAGAGTTGGGCAGGCGGTCCGCCGAACCCTTTGGTTCGCCTTAGGGGAAGGTGGGGCCGTCACAAAACCTAAGGTAGCGGCTCGAGTGTATTCACTGGAGCCACAACAGGTCCCCGATTTTTCTGAAATTGAGGAAGGTATGATTTCGGTATTCCACCAATTTACGAAAATCTTAGTAGATCCCAGTGTTACTCATTCATTTGTCAATCCCAATTTTATGTATGGAATAGATACAAAACCTGCTCGTCTACCCTACGACCTGAAAGTAGTACTCCTATGGGGAAACATCGTTTGAGCACTGGTATGGTTTGTAAGGATTGCCGCGTTGGGTAGGAGAGAAGGTTTGGGGTGTGTGTTGACGCAAAACCAAAATGTGATATCTTTTGCCTCTAAGAAATTGAAACCCACGAACAAAAACTATTCAACCCACGATCTGGAGTTAGTCGCAGTTGTTTTCGCTCCGCGCTCGGGAAAAGTGGAGAAATCATGGGATAGAAGAGGTTACCTGGGAGGTGGAAGAAGAAATGCAAAAGGAATACCCTGAACTGTTTGTGAATCAAGGTGAGAAATTTCGAGGACGAAATTCTTTTAAGGGGTGTGAGAACCGTAAATTTCTCAATTTCTAGGCCTTATTTTATTTATTTGCACGCCTTTTATGCATTTTCTTTATTAGGGAAAATTTTGTAAATAATTTTATATGAGTAAATATAGTTTTAGATGATTTCCTAGTATCGGTTAGATTTTGAGAAATTAAGAACGTATATCGGACGTGGGCCCCGCTAGTGCGGAAAGTTCGGTAAAATTCGGCCAATTAGGTTAAGTTTGGGATACTGGGATTAATTTACTAGGTGTTAGGAGATAATTAGAGGTTGGTATATGGATGAGAGTGGAGAGACAAAAGGATAACCATGTATTAATTAGAGTGACAAGTGTCACTTGGAGAACTAATCTTACTTTTGACCACTATTCATTACTTTACCAAATAAATAAAAAATTGACCCAAAAATCCCTCAAAAATTCAAGCTCATGACCGGCTCTCTCTAGAGAGAAAAGAAGAAAAACCTCTTCAATTTCTTACTTCTAATCTTGCTCAATCTTTCATTCCAACCGGTTAATCTTCAAATTATTCCATAAAACCTCTTAGTTTAGTGGTATTAAGCTTGGTTGTGAAGTGGTTTGGAGGAGCAAGGTGCTAAATTGGATTTTTTCTTGGTTTGCAAGGTATGTGACCAAGGAACCTTCCCTTGATCCTAATAATGTTCAATTGGTACCTTATGTGAGTTAAAGAGATAATTTTTGGTGTTATTTGTGACTTTTGGTTGAAATTGGTGAAGTTTTATATTTATTTGGGATTTTTCTGTTTTCATATGATTAATATTGTGTGGGCATGGATCATGGTTGGGAATGGTTTAGAATGAAGCCTTGGTGTGTAAATTGTAGCTATTTGCGGAAAATTTCCGCTTTGAACCGAAATTTCCGAATTAGGGTTCCAATTTTTCACCATTCTGGCCGGCACTGTTGGACCTAGTTAGTGGCCGAATTAGTCTTGGGTTAAAACATGAAAGTTGTAGGGAATGATGTTGTATAGTTTTCTGAAAACTTTCAGGCCAATTGGATCAACGTAGCCTGTGAAAAGACTGAAATACCCCTGCTGCCCTGTTTTCACCCGAACATGCTAATCAGCTTCTGTAATTGGTTGTTTTGACCAGGAATGCTACTGATTTGGTTGTTTATGTCTTCTTACGACTTATAGCCTTGTGTCTTAGCTTTCAAATGGCTTTAGAATCACTTGAATTGGAGTTGTATATGCTGCGATATGACCGAATGAATCAGGACTGCCACAGTAAACTTCGAATTGGAAAATCTTAGGTTGTTTTGCTAAATTTGACCTAGAAACATTGTATACTGTGTGACGGCCCCACTTCTCCCCAAAAACGAACCAGAGGGTTGGCGGGCCGTCTGCCTAGCTCTCGCCAGGACTCACGCAAGCAAGCTAGCAAAAATCCTTCCGAAGTATAACCTAATCTATTACAACATCGTTTCCCTCCAAATAAGCCGGTTTCTAGAATCACATTAACTTCAGAGATAACAGTGCCTTAAGATAGCCAACGTCGATTCTTAAAATACCTTCCCGAATACAACCCAAGAAACAAAACATCAATTCAAATACATCCTTACAAGCCAAGTAACAAATTCATACAAGCCACATACAAATCCAGGGTTTACACTTTTCCAGCTTCAAGTGGCAACCTAAGGCAAAACTACAATGTTTAACTCGAATTACATTCATGAAAGTAAACAATCTAGTACTACTTCCGAGCACCTTTGGTCTCAAATCCTGTAAAAGAAAATCACAACGTGGAATGAGCTACACAGCCCAGTGAGGTTCCAAGACACTCTAACAGTTCAAACAAATCAAGAAAGTTGTGCATGTCATATGCATGGTTCGAGGTTACACAATGGCAGGTTATCATGAGGTGATAATCATTACTCGGGTAATTGCTACTTTGAAAACACATGTAGTAGTAGTACTTTTGCTGGTAACTTTACTATGAGTACAACTCATAAATTATCTAAAATCACTAACGTATTTTTGGAATGAATGACCATATAAATATATTTTCATGAATTTTTAGTCAAACAAATAGTGGCTCGTCTGACTAGAAGAACATTACAAGGATTGCTTCATCTCAGAGATTAATGCTCATGAGGAGTCTTACCCGAGAAATGTCAACTAGGAGAGCAATAACATTATTAATAGCAAAGCAAGCACAAAAGGATACAGTACTCGGTCCACTTCCCGTCCTTATAACTCCGATCGGTAACTCCTTCGATTGACTGGCCATCACCTTATCCCTCCAGTGGTAGTACTCGAGTATACCGAAACGGTTGTCCAGGGTTCCAACCTACCCGACCGAGCCCAGTCCTGGCTCGAGTAGGTCAGTAACCGAGGCAGGGCCCAAGTTCAGCTTATAGCTTACAACATGCACAGGTAACCAAGTAATTCGACAAAAAGTAAAATTCATCATTTGAATAGGTCGAGTGAGGTAAAGTACACACTCGCCTAACAATGATGGACAACTTCATATAACATGTGATTCATGATAATCAAGTAATCAAGTGGATACTTAGCACGTAAGCACGTAAGCAATACAAGTTGATTTCATGGGAGCATGTAATTCACGGATATCGAATAATCATATAGATTAGAAATCATGTGAGCAAATAGTCAAGTAATCAGGTAGTCATGTGGGTTGGTAAACGGTTCACGGTTAACGGTTAACGGTTAACGGTTGAGTAATGACGGTTATTTGGCAGGCATTTGCCATATTAATAGGCCATCATTGGCCGTTATCCCATTTTTACCATGTGAGAGTCGAGGAGATTCACTCCAACGACGTATGCAACCATAGCATACCAAGTCATGTTATTCGAGCATTTTCAAGCATGGGTATGGTAAATATTTAACACATAGTACTTAACACTTAGAAATCATGAAATGAGCATGTCCTAGACTTATTCCATTACGTATTCCTATATGGAACACTCACCTAGTCAAACAAGCGCAATAGGTCTCAAACAAGCGTTTTAGGCGTCCGCTCCGAGTTCCTCTTGGAGATCTCCTCGATTGCCTGAGCAAACAATAATTCAAGTACCACTCAATATCGCTACGAATTCTCTAGTTTTCGATGAAGATTGTACGCTAGTGCAATCTAAGAAATTAACGCGGAGACGAGCCTAAGAATTCGTGTAACTCGAGGTTCAAAAGTGGGGTTTTAAAACACAAGACAAATCTGATTTCCATCTCTGGATTCAAATGTAAAACAATCAAATGATATTGAAAGAAATGAAGAGTTCGAAACCCCTTAGTTTCCTTTAAGTTAGAAAATTCCAGATTTAACAAGTAATCTTTGAAAAATCATATCTTACTCTCTACAAGCCCAAAATTGGAAAACTTGGTACTATTGGAAACCTCTTTGAAAGTACTAAAAGTTCCTAGAATACACTTTTCCATGATTCTAAATGGAAGATAGTCAAAAATGGGCTCAAAGTTACTGTTTTGGTTCATAAGGCAGATTTAAGTTGGTTTTTGGCCAACTTTGAAAATTCGGCAAAATTCACTTGATTGGAACTAGCTTTTGAAATTTTTACTCTTTTAGAGTCGCAATCCAAGTTACAGTAAAACAAGGAATGAGAAACGGAGTTTTGAACCAATGATAGGTAGCTCAAAGTTACTAAAATTCCCTTGTGAAACATGGGTTTTTCAAACTCGAGTCAGAACTTTGGTAATTTATTTGACCCATGAAACGGCCTCAGAATAACACCAAATTAGCAGTATAATACTACCATATAAGGGTTGTCCTCTACAAATTTCATAGAAAAATATGCACGGAATCACTTAACAAAATCACTCAAGTTTCCAAAATTTTAAGGCAAAGCTGCCTTGTATGTGAAAATTTCCTTTTCTAAACTTTTGACCAAGGAAAATCCTCTAAACATGGTTCATTTGTAGAAAATTAAGGGTCATCAAACAACATTTGTGGTGTTTAACACCAAGAATTTAATTTGCAAGTCTACACCAGCCTTGCATCAAATCTGTCTAAAAATCAGGGTTTTCAAGGACAGAGCAGGTTTCCTATATTTTGATCACAGATCACTCAAATTAACTCGGAATTTGGCATGGTTTAAGGCGTTGGAAAAACATTCATAGAGCTATAATTTCACAGAAGAAATCATTTGAAATTCGGCACACAACTAGCTCGAATTCGAGCCACAAGTTGCAGCCTCAGCATTTTGTTCTTGTAAAACAGAGAAACAGACAGCCGACTTAAAATGGTTGGTTTGGCTCACACACATGGAACCAGAATGTGCATTTTATACCGTCGGAAAGGTTGGAATGTCTAGTTTCAAATGCCGCTGACGGCACTTATTTGACATCGAGCACAGATTATGGCCAAATACGAAAGCTGGTCAGAGTATTACGGAAAGTTCCAGATTTACTAGCTTTGTGAAATCATTTTATTTGACCAACCAAACTCAATATTTTTCAATGAAACTTTGTACACCACATATTAACATATAAACATATATATAGTCATGAACCCTCAAATTTGCAAAAAGGGTGCGATTAAAACAGGGCAAATCTGAACATTTTTGAACTATGCATCCTTGAGTCTAGACTAGCTAGGTATCATTAATCTACCTATTTAAACACTAAACTAGCATTATATCCATCATCATCATCATCAAGGGTGGGAGTTCATAGAGCCCACCATCAAAATTTTCCGACATGAAAAAACAAATAACATGTGATTTTGGCAAATAATTCCACCACAATAAATCTGTCCTCGCTAAACAGAATTTCCAGCAGCTAATTGGTCATAAATCCAACTTTTTACTCGGCTAACATGATATTAAGTACTCAATTTGTCATGCAACTTAACTAGCCAATTAAGATTTCCAGTTCAAAAACCATTCAAACAACGATTATAATCATCCAAAAATTCCAGAATTTGTTCACTATTCTCGGCTAGGTTGCATGCAACAGATTCCTTGTTTCCTTTTCTTTTCTTACTTAACCGCGCTAAAGAACGGCATGCAAAGCTTAAACACTTAATTCTTAGTTAGTTAATCGCAATTACAAGCTCAGATTACTTCAATTAAGCAAGATCAAGTCTGCATTTCTGGTTCAAGCTCACGGCAATATCCATTTCCATCAAACCAGATTTTCCTCATGCTTTGATTTCATCGTCCAAACGCACAAACTCAACATACAAGCTTTTAAACAGCTTCTTCTACCAGTAATTAGTTAATCTAAGTCTCGAATTTACCTCAGCTAGAAGGTCAGTTCATGCAACAAGAAAAGCTGAAGTTTCTCTCCTCTCGGCTAAGCTCACGCACACGATGGTTGCAGCTGTAGTGTTGCGGTTGGAAGATGATGGTAGCTGGTGGAGGTGGGGAATGTAGAAGGAACTCACGCTCTGTCTCTCTCTCTTTCTCCCACTTGTTGACGGACAGAATTAGGAAAGCTCACGGTTCTCTCTCTCTCGGTTCCTCAAGCAAATCGCACCAGCTCCTTTTCTTGTTTTTCCCCAATTTGGCTGGTATAGACACCAAGGAGTTGCAGTTTCCCCTTCTCACTCAACTCTCTTTTGTGCGTGGGAATGGAATGAAGATATCCCTCTCTCTCTACCTTACACTCTCTCGGCTTCAGCTGGAAGCAAAGAGGAACCAGAAATACTCTCACTCTCTCGGCTATAGGAGCAAAACAAAGTGGAACTTTGGAAATGTTTCTCTCGGTCAAGACAAATGGAATAGAGTTGGTTGCATGGTTATTTATTCAAGTATTGAGGCTTCAACGGTCTTTTAACATTAAAGTATTTATTTGCTAAGGAGTTGGAATCTTATCATCTTCAAATATTGTCTCAAACTTTAGTTTATTCTAATTTACATACCCCTATAGAATTTTTCTCACACCATCCTAGGTATTACCGGTTTACTTTTAACGAAAAGAATTAATTAAACATGTATTTTAATAAATAAAAAAAAATGGAACATGTATTAAATTTTAAATAAGAATAAAATTGTCAAGCTCTCACTCAAAATTCTTACCATTATTCTTAGTTAAATCAGGATATTTCTAAATTCTCAATTTTTATAAAAATTCAATTAGGCTTTTAATTTAACCACTTATTCGTTATATGTAATTTCTTGAATCGATTATTTACTCCAATCGCGTATTTACTATTTTCACTTAACGAGCTTACAGAAATTAAATTTCGAAACGAATTGCTTTAAAATATAACTAAACTATGGATACGTTTAATTAAACCTAAAAAGCTTAGAAAATAATACTCGGACTCTGAGAAATCGGGTGAGTAAATACTTATTTTAGCCAGTAAAATAAATAAAATAAGCAAAATTTTCGGTACTCACAACCTACCCTCCTTAAAGAGAATTTCGTTCTCGAAATTCATACCTTCTGAAATCTCGGATAACCCTGAACCATGTGGTGTGATCATGTCATGTGTTCGTTCAGACGCCACTGGTCGGTTCCTCCTTCCATTGACTTGTCGAGGGACAGTTCCATTTCCCTGTTGAGCAGTGGTTTCTCGTGGATACCTCCTTGGACAGTCATGAACTTTATGGCTAGTACTCCCACATCCCATACACTTTCGTCCCTTTAGCCAACAGTTTTCTTCAGTGTGATTCGTCCTTCCACAATATCCACAAATTGGACGAGGTGTTGTGACCTGACTTGTTTGCGAGGTTTTCTTTGATCGTGTCTGTCCTACTGAAGTCTCTCGCGACATAGTTCCTTTTGGTTCCTTTATCCTGAGTGGTGCAGGAAGTAACAGTCCTACTCCATCCACTTCTTTTCTAACTTTGGGTGGTGGTCCATTTTCTCCTAGTGTACTGTCAGATGCGTCTCTTTTCCTTGCTTGAAAAGCTCTCAGTTGAGATTTTGTGATTTCTACCCTTTGCGCTTTTTCGAGAGCGTCACTAAATGTTTCAACCTGTGCTGCGGCAAGGGCATCTTGGATTTCCAAATCTAATCCTTGGATAAACCGTCTTATTCTCTTCCTTTCAGTAGCCACCAATTCTGGGGCATATGTAGATAACTTCGTAAAGCGTGTTTCATACTCAGCTACACTTAAAGTTCCTTGACGAAGCTTTATGAAATCATCTTCTCTCTTTTCTTGGACTAGTGGTGGAAGAAATTTTCCATTAAATTCTAGGACAAAGTTCATCCAAGTTCTCGGAGTTTGTTCCCTTTCCCACTTATTTCTTATAACATTCCACCATGCTCGAGCCGTCCTTCAAGTTGGAACACAGCAAAATTTACTTCTCTCTCCTCGGAATAATCTAGTGCATCAAATATATTTCTTATATTCTCAACCAATTCTCAGCTATATCGGGGTTTGGACCCCCAGAAAATTTAGGGGGAAAAACTTTTGAAATCTCTCTAAAGCCTATCCTCTCCTATTTCTTGGTTTCCAAGTTGGTTCACTTGTCCAATTCCCTGGCCTTGTTGGGGTACCAATCGCTCTAATATGTCTGTCATGCGAGTCAAAACTAACCCAATTTGATTTTCTACCCCAACCCTAGTTCAGCGTTTCGGTGGCGTGGGTTCTTTATCTCCTCCTTGATTTTGAGGTCGTCTGGGTTGACGTCCACGTCGTCGTCTCCCAGCTTCCATTCTCACAACTAGTCTCTACAATTATGTGCAAATGGCTCACTAAACTAAAAATTATCTATGCACACGTATATTTAACAATTTTCAAAATGAGCAATAAAACTATATCCACAGATAACATTTTCACAAATAGCACATTAACAGTTAACATAGAATTTAAACTAGTCTCAATTAGGTTGCATACCATTACAAAATTAGAGCTAATCAGGTCATAATACAAGTTGAAATCAAAGGTCATTTATCCAAAGTTTAAAAATCTTTAGCAAGCCAGCCAATAACTAAAGTGCATTCATCTCCAAGAATAACCAACCTTGGGATTTCTAGTTAAAGCCTCAAGTACCATTTTCAAACTCAGGGAATATGTACAACTGGCTCACTTAAGCGTCAAGTGGAAACCAAGTCAATTCGCACTAGGACTGGCCATCTCCAGATGCAAATCAACTCAATCACCACCATTCCTCAAAGAAAATTTCACAAAATGTCTCAATCAAGCAATCGATCCAAGATTCACATTCAATTTCATACATATACTTACGAAGATTACAAGCCTAGAGGATACCTCGAATCTTACAATTTACCCAGTCAAATTCGATCTTATAGATATCAGCTAGTACCAATGTTCAAGAAACTCAACTATCACTTTTCAAATCAATTCTCACACAATTCTCTTCAGTTTCTTACAATATAAGAAACCCTAGTGTGTAAACCCACTTAAAAACAAACACTTCAATATTACTCAATCAATCATCAAGTATTAAGATCACATTCCACTTACTAAACAATCAAACTCCACAGTCCGGCATCTTATGCTTAAAGCCTAAGATACACTACAAAGATCTAGACCTAAGCTCTGATACCACCTGTGACGGCCCCACTTTCCCCTAAGGCGAACCAGAGGGTTGGCGGGCCGTCTGCCTAGCTCTCGCCAGGACTCACGCAAGCAAGCTAGCAAAAATCCTTCCGAAGTATAACCTAATCTATTACAACATCGTTTCCCTCCAAATAAGCCGGTTTCTAGAATCACATTAACTTCAGAGATAACAGTGCCTTAAGATAGCCAACGTCGATTCTTAAAATACCTTCCCGAATACAACCCAAGAAACAAAACATCAATTCAAATACATCCTTACAAGCCAAGTAACAAATTCATACAAGCCACATACAAATCCAGGGTTTACACTTTTCCAGCTTCAAGTGGCAACCTAAGGCAAAACTACAATGTTTAACTCGAATTACATTCATGAAAGTAAACAATCTAGTACTACTTCCGAGCACCTTTGGTCTCAAATCCTGTAAAAGAAAATCACAACGTGGAATGAGCTACACAGCCCAGTGAGGTTCCAAGACACTCTAACAGTTCAAACAAATCAAGAAAGTTGTGCATGTCATATGCATGGTTCGAGGTTACACAATGGCAGGTTATCATGAGGTGATAATCATTACTCGGGTAATTGCTACTTTGAAAACACATGTAGTAGTAGTACTTTTGCTGGTAACTTTACTATGAGTACAACTCATAAATTATCTAAAATCACTAACGTATTTTTGGAATGAATGACCATATAAATATATTTTCATGAATTTTTAGTCAAACAAATAGTGGCTCGTCTGACTAGAAGAACATTACAAGGATTGCTTCATCTCAGAGATTAATGCTCATGAGGAGTCTTACCCGAGAAATGTCAACTAGGAGAGCAATAACATTATTAATAGCAAAGCAAGCACAAAAGGATACAGTACTCGGTCCACTTCCCGTCCTTATAACTCCGATCGGTAACTCCTTCGATTGACTGGCCATCACCTTATCCCTCCAGTGGTAGTACTCGAGTATACCGAAACGGTTGTCCAGGGTTCCAACCTACCGACCGGCCCAGTCCTGGCTCGAGTAGGTCAGTAACGAGGCAGGGCCCAAGTTCAGGCTTATAGCTTACAACATGCACAGGTAACCAAGTAATTCGACAAAAAGTAAAATTCATCATTTGAATAGGTCGAGTGAGGTAAAGTACACACTCGCCTAACAATGATGGACAACTTCATATAACATGTGATTCATGATAATCAAGTAATCAAGTGGATACTTAGCACGTAAGCACGTAAGCAATACAAGTTGATTTCATGGGAGCATGTAATTCACGGATATCGAATAATCATATAGATTAGAAATCATGTGAGCAAATAGTCAAGTAATCAGGTAGTCATGTGGGTTGGTAAACGGTTCACGGTTAACGGTTGACGGTTAACGGTTGACGGTAAACGGTTGAGTAATGACGGTTATTTGGCAGGCATTTGCCATATTAATAGGCCATCATTGGCCGTTATCCATTTTTACCATGTGAGAGTCGAGGAGATTCACTCCAACGACGTATGCAACCATAGCATACCAAGTCATGTTATTCGAGTATTTTCAAGCATGGGTATAGTAAATATTTAACACATAGTACTTAACACTTAGAAATCATGAAATGAGCATGTCCTAGACTTATTCCATTACGTATTCCTGTAGGGAACACTCACTTAGTCAAACAAGCGCAATAGGTCTCAAACAAGCATTTTAGGCGTCCGCTCCGAGTTCCTCTTGGAGATCTCCTCGATTGCCTGAGCAAACAATAATTCAAGTACCACTCAATATCGCTACGAATTCTCTAGTTTTCGATGAAGATTGTACACTAGTGCAATCTAAGAAATTAACGCGGAGACGAGCCTAAGAATTCGTGTAACTCGAGGTTCTAATTTTTATGAGTAAATATAGTTTTTAGATGATTTTCCTAGTATCGGTTAGATTTTGAGAAATTAAGAACGTATATCGGACGTGGGCCCCGCTAGTGCGGAAAGTTCGGTAAAATTCGGCCAATTAGGTTAAGTTTGGGATACTGGGATTAATTTACTAGGTGTTAGGAGATAATTAGAGGTTGGTATATGGATGAGAGTGGAGAGACAAAAGGATAACCATGTATTAATTAGAGTGACAAGTGTCACTTGGAGAACTAATCTTACTTTTGACCACTATTCATTACTTTACCAAATAAATAAAAAATTGACCCAAAAATCCCTCAAAAATTCAAGCTCATGACCGGCTCTCTCTAGAGAGAAAAGAAGAAAAACCTCTTCAATTTCTTACTTCTAATCTTGCTCAATCTTTCATTCCAACCGGTTAATCTTCAAATTATTCCATAAAACCTCTTAGTTTAGTGGTATTAAGCTTGGTTGTGAAGTGGTTTGGAGGAGCAAGGTGCTAAATTGGATTTTTTCTTGGGTTTGCAAGGTATGTGACCAAGGAACCTTCCCTTGATCCTAATAATGTTCAATTGGTACCTTATGTGAGTTAAAGAGATAATTTTTGGTGTTATTTTGTGACTTTTGGTTGAAATTGGTGAAGTTTTATATTTATTTGGGATTTTTCTGTTTTCATATGATTAATATTGTGTGGGCATGGATCATGGTTGGGAATGGTTTAGAATGAAGCCTTGGTGTGTAAATTGTAGCTATTTGCGGAAAATTTCCGCTTTGAACCGAAATTTCCGAATTAGGGTTCCAATTTTTCACCATTCTGGCCGGCACTGTTGGACCTAGTTAGTGGCCGAATTAGTCTTGGGTTAAAACATGAAAGTTGTAGGGAATGATGTTGTATAGTTTTCTGAAAACTTTCAGGCCAATTGGATCAACGTAGCCTGTGAAAAGACTGAAATACCCCTGCTGCCCTGTTTTCACCCGAACATGCTAATCAGCTTCTGTAATTGGTTGTTTTGACCAGGAATGCTACTGATTTGGTTGTTTATGTCTTCTTACGACTTATAGCCTTGTGTCTTAGCTTTCAAATGGCTTTAGAATCACTTGAATTGGAGTTGTATATGCTGCGATATGACCGAATGAATCAGGACTGCCACAGTAAACTTCGAATTGGAAAATCTTAGGTTGTTTTGCTAAATTTGACCTAGAAACATTGTATACTGTGTGACGGCCCCACTTCTCCCCAAAAACGAACCAGAGGGTTGGCGGGCCGTCTGCCTAGCTCTCGCCAGGACTCACGCAAGGAAGCTAGCAAAAATCCTTCCGAAGTATAACCTAATCTATTACAACACCGTTTCCCTCCAAATAAGCCGGTTTCTAGAATCACATTAATTTCAGAGATAACAGTGCCTTAAGATAGCCAACATCGATTCTTAAAATACCTTCCCGAATACAACCCAAGAAACAAAACATCAATTCAAATACATCCTTACAAGCCAAGTAACAAATTCATACAAGCCACATACAAATCCAGGGTTTACACTTTTCCAGCTTCAAGTGGCAACCTAAGGCAAAACTACAATGTTTAACTCGAATTACATTCATGAAAGTAAACAATCTAGTACTACTTCCGAGCACCTTTGGTCTCAAATCCTGTAAAAGAAAATCACAATGTGGAATGAGCTACACAGTCCAGTGAGGTTCCAAGACACTCTAACAGTTCAAACAAATCAAGAAAGTTGTGCATGTCATATGCATGGTGCGAGGTTACACAATGGCAGGTTATCATGAGGTGATAATCATTACTCGGGTAATTGCTACTTTGAAAACACATGTAGTAGTAGAACTTTTGCTGGTAACTTTACTATGAGTACAACACATAAATTATCTAAAATCACTAACGTATTTTTGGAATGAATGACCATATAAATATATTTTCATGAATTTTTAGTCAAACAAATAGTGGCTCGTCTGACTAGAAGAACATTACAAGGATTTCTTCATCTCAGAGATTAATGCTCATGAGGAGTCTTACCCGAGAAATGTCAACTAGGAGAGCAATAACATTATTAATAGCAAAGCAAGCACAAAAGGATACAGTACTCGGTCCACTTCCCGTCCTTATAACTCCGATCGGTAACTCCTTCGATTGACTGGCCATCACCTTATCCCTCCAGTGGTAGTACTTGAGTATACTGAAACGGTTGTCCAGGGTTCCAACCTACCCGACCGAGCCCAGTCCTGGCTCGAGTAGGTCAGTAACCGAGGCAGGGCCCAAGTTCAGCTTATAGCTTACAACATGCACAGGTAACCAAGTAATTCGACAAAAAGTAAAATTCATCATTTGAATAGGTCGAGTGAGGTAAAGTACACACTCGCCTAACAATGATGGACAACTTCATATAACATGTGATTCAGGATAATCAAGTAATCAAGTGGATACTTAGCACGTAAGCACGTAAGCAATACAAGTTGATTTCATGGGAGCATGTAATTCACGGATATCGAATAATCATATAGATTAGAAATCATGTGAGCAAATAGTCAAGTAATCAGGTAGTCATGTGGGTTGGTAAACGGTTCACGGTTAACGGTTCACGGTTAACGGTTGAGTAATGACGGTTATTTGGCAGGCATTGGCCATATTAATAGGCCATCATTGGCCGTTATCCCATTTTTACCATGTGAGAGTCGAGGAGATTCACTCCAACGACGTATGCAACCATAGCATACCAAGTCATGTTATTCGAGCATTTTCAAGCATGGGTATGGTAAATATTTAACACATAGTACTTAACACTTAGAAATCATGAAATGAGCATGTCCAAGACTTATTCCATTACGTATTCCTATATGGAACACTCACCTAGTCAAACAAGCGCAATAGGTCTCAAACAAGCATTTTAGGCGTCCACTCTGAGTTCCTCTTGGAGATCTCCTCGATTGCCTGAGCAAACAATAATTCAAGTACCACTCAATATCGCTACGAATTCTCTAGTTTTCGATGAAGATTGTACGCTAGTGCAATCTAAGAAATTAATGCGGAGACGAGCCTAAGAATTCGTGTAACTCGAGGTTCAAAAGTGGGGTTTTAAAACACAAGACAAATCTGATTTCCATCTCTGGATTCAAATGTAAAACAATCAAATGATATTGACAGAAATGAAGAGTTCGAAACCCCTTAGTTTCCTTTAAGTTAGAAAATTCCAGATTTAACAAGTAATCTTTGAAAAATCATATCTTACTCTCTACAAGCCCCAAATTGGAAAACCTGGTACTATTGGAAACCTCTTTGAAAGTACTAAAAATTCCTAGAATACACTTTTCCATGATTCTAAATGGAAGATAGTCAAAAATGGCTCAAAGTTACTGTTTTGGTTCATAAGGCACATTTAAGTTGGTTTTTGGCCAACTTTGAAAATTCAGCAAAATTCACTTGAATTGGAACTAGCTTTTGAAATTTTGTACTCTTTTAGAGTCGCAATCCAAGTGTACAGTAAAACAAGTGGGATGAGAAATGGAGTTTTGAATATTAAGATATGGCAACTCAAAGTTACCAAAATTCCCTAGTGAAACATGGGTTTTTCAAACTCGAGTCAGGAACGTTGGTAATTTATTTGACCCGTGAAACGGTCTCGGAATAACACCAAAATTAGCAGTATAATACTACCATATAAGGGTTGTCCCTCTACCAAATTTCATAGAAAAATATGCACGGGAAGTCACTTAACAAAATCACTCAAGTTTCCAAAATTTTAAGGCAAAGCTGCCTTGTATGTGAAAATTTCCTTTTCTAAACTTTTGACCAAGGAAAATCCTCTAAACATGGTTCATTTGCATAGAAAAGGTTTAAGGGTCATCCCAAAACAACATTTGTGGTGATTAACACCAAGAGATTTAATTTGCAAGTCTACACCGAGCCTTGCATCAAATCTGTCTAAAAATCAGGGTTTTCAAGGACAGAGCAGGTTTCCTATTTTGATCATAGATTACTCAAATTAACTAGGAATTTGTCATGGTTTATGGCATTGGAAATCACATTCATAGAGTTATAATTTCACAGAAGAAATCACTACGAAATTCGGCACACAACTAGCTCGAATTCGAGCCACAAGTTGCAGCCTCATCATTTTGTTCTTGTAAAACAGAGAAACAGGACAGCCAACTTAAAATGGTTGGTTTGGCTCACACACATGGAACCAGAATGTGCATTTTATACCGTCGGAAAGGCTGGGATGTCTAGTTTCAAATGCCGCTGACGGCACTTAATTTTGACATCAGAGCACAGATTTATAGCCAAAATACGAAAGCTGGTCAGAGTATTACGGAAACAGTTCCAGATTTACTAGCTTTGTGAAATCATTTTATTTGACCAACCAAATCTCAATATTTTTCAATGAAACTTTGTACACCACATATTAAACATATAAACATCATATATGAGTCATGAACCCCTCCAAATTCTGCAAAAAGGGGTGCGATTAAAACAGGGCAAAACTGAACATTTTTGAACTATGCATCCCTTGAAGTCTAGACTAGCTAGATATCATTAATCTAGCTATTTAAACACTAACTAGCATTATATCCATCACCAATCATTTCATCAACCATCAATTCAAGGGTGGGAGTTCATAGAGCCCACCATCAAAATTTTCCGACATGAAATAAAACAAGTAACAAGTGATTTTGGCAACTAATTCCACCACAATAAATTTGTCATCGGCTAAACAGAATTTCCAGCAGCTAATTGGTCATAAATCCAACTTTTTACTCGGCTAGTACATGATATTAAGTACTCAAATTTGTCATGCAACCACTTAACTAGTTAATTAAGATTTCCAGTTCAAAAACCAGATTCAAACGGCGATTATAATCATCCAGAAATTCCAGAATTTATTCATCTATTCTCGGCTAGGTTGCATACAACAGATTCCTTGTTTCCTTTTCTTTTTCTTACTTAACCGCGCTAAAGAACGGCATGCAAAGCTTAAACACTTACTTCTTAGTTAGTTAATCGCAATTACAAGCTCAGATTACTTCAATTAAGCAAGATCAAGTCTGCATTTCTGATTCAAGCTCACGGCAATATCCATTTTCCATCAAACCAGATTTTCCTCATGCTTTGATTTCATCGTCCAAACGCACAAACTCAACATACAAGCTTTTAAACAGCTTCTTCTACCAGTAATTAGTTAATCTAAGTCTCGAATTTACCTCAGCTAGAAGGTCAGTTCATGCAACAAGAAAAGCTGAAGTTTCTCTCCTCTCGGCTAAGCTCACGCACACGATGGTTGCAGCTGTAGTGTTGCGGTTGGAAGATGATGGTAGCTGGTGGAGGTGGGGAATGTAGAAGGAACTCACGCTCTGTCTCTCTCTCTTTCTCCCACTTGTTGACGGACAGAATTAGGAAAGCTCACGGTTCTCTCTCTCTCGGTTCCTCAAGCAAATCGCACCAGCTCCTTTTCTTGTTTTCCCCAATTTGGCTGGTATAGACACCAAGGAGTTGCAGTTTCCCCTTCTCACTCAACTCTCTTTTGTGCGTGGGAATGGAATGAAGATATCCCTCTCTCTCTACCTTACACTCTCTCGGCTTCAGCTGGAAGCAAAGAGGAACCAGAAATACTCTCACTCTCTCGGCTATATGGAGCAAAACAAAGTGGAACTTTGGTAAATGTTTCTCTCGGTCAAGACAAATGGAATAGAGTTGGTTGCATGGTTATTTATTCAAGTATTGAGGCTTCAACGGTCTTTTAACATTAAAGTATTTATTTGCTAAGGAGTTGGAATCTTATCATCTTCAAATATTGTCTCAAACTTTAGTTTATTCTAATTTACATACCCCTATAGAATTTTTCTCACACCATCCTAGGTATTACCGGTTTACTTTTTAACGAAAAGAATTAATTAAACATGTATTTTAATAAATAAAAAAAAATGGAACTTGTATTAAATTTTAAATAAGGAATAAAATTGTCAAGCTCTCACTCAAAATTCTTACCATTATTCTTAGTTAAATCAGGATATTTCTAAATTCTCAATTTTTATAAAAATTCAATTAGGCTTTTAATTTAACCACTTATTCGTTATATGTAATTTCTTGAATCGATTATTTACTCCAATCGCGTATTTACTATTTTCACTTAACGAGCTTACAGAAATTAAATTTCGAAACGAATTGCTTTAAAAATATAACTAAACTATGGATACGTTTAATTAAACCTAAAAAGCTTAGAAAATAATACTCGGACTCTGAGAAATCGGGTGAGTAAATACTTATTTTAGCCAGTAAAATAAATAAAATAAGCAAAATTTTCGGGTACTCACAACCTACCCTCCTTAAAGAGAATTTCGTTCTCGAAATTCATACCTTCTGAAATCTCGGATAACCCTGAACCATGTGGTGTGATCATGTCATGTGTTCGTTCAGACGCCACTGGTCGGTTCCTCCTTCCATTGACTTGTCGAGGGACAGTACCATTTCCCTGTTGAGCAGTGGTTTCTCGTGGATACCTCCTTGGACAGTCATGAACTTTATGGCTAGTACTCCCACATCCCATACACTTTCGTCCCTTTAGCCAACAGTTTTCTTCAGTGTGATTCGTCCTTCCACAATATCCACAAATTGGACGAGGTGTTGTGACCTGACTTGTTTGCGAGGTTTTCTTTGATCGTGTCTGTCCTACTGAAGTCTCTCGCGACATAGTTCCTTTTGGTTCCTTTATCCTGAGTGGTGCAGGAAGTAACAGTCCTACTCCATCCACTTCTTTTCTAACTTTGGGTGGTGGTCCATTTTCTCCTAGTGTACTGTCAGATGCGTCTCTTTTCCTTGCTTGAAAAGCTCTCAGTTGAGATTTTGTGATTTCTACCCTTTGCGCTTTTTCGAGAGCGTCACTAAAAGTTTCAACCTGTGCTGCGGCAAGGGCATCTTCGATTTCCAAATCTAATCCTTGGATAAACCGTCTTATTGTCTTCCTTTCAGTAGCCACCAATTCTGGGGCATATGTAGATAACTTCGTAAAGCGTGTTTCATACTCAGCTACACTTAAAGTTCCTTGACGAAGCTTTATGAAATCATCTTCTCTCTTTTCTTGGACTAGTGGTGGAAGAAATTTTTCATTAAATTCTAGGACAAAGTTCATCCAAGTTCTCGGAGTTTGTTCCCTTTCCCACTTATTTCTTATAGCATTCCACCATGCTCGAGCCAGCCCTTCAAGTTGGAACACAGCAAAATTTACTTCTCTCTCCTCGGAATAATCTAGTGCATCAAATATATTTCTTATATTCTTCAACCAATTCTCAGCTATATCGGGGTTTGGACCACCAGAAAATTTAGGGGGGAAAAACTTTTGAAATCTCTCTAAAGCCCTATCCTCTCCTATTTCTTGGTTTCCAAGTTGGTTCACTTGTCCAATTCCCTGGCCTTGTTGGGGTACCAATCGCTCTAATATGTCTGTCATGCGAGTCAAAACTAACCCAATTTGATTTTCTACCCCAACCCTAGATTCAGCGTTTCGGTCGGCAGTGGGTTCTTTATCTCCTCCGTGATTTTGAGGTCGTCTGGGTTGACGTCCACGTCGTCGTCTCCCAGCTTCCATTCTCACAACTAGTCTCTACAATTATGTGCAAATGGCTCACTAAACTAAAAATTATCTATGCACACGTATATTTAACAATTTTCAAAATGAGCAATAAAACTATATCCACAGATAACATTTTCACAAATAGCACATTAACAGTTAACATAGAATTTAAACTAGTCTCAATTAGGTTGCATACCATTACAAAATTAGAGCTAATCAGGTCATAATACAAGTTGAAATCAAAGGTCATTTATCCAAAGTTTAAAAATCTTTAGCAAGCCAGCCAATAACTAAAGTGCATTCATCTCCAAGAATAACCAACCTTG